AACGCGCGCAATGCTATTAGGGGTGTTTCATAACCAAACCTTCCTCCATGTTGTCGTAACACCGCAGTGCTGTCATTAGAATAGTACGGACTCCACATTTTCACAGTTTACTCTTTTTACCATCATTTTGACTCTTCCTAATAGGACTTTAGCATTTTGTATTCTTCCGCTTTTCGCACAGCCAAGATCGTTAGCGTGCAACAAAGCTAACGACATCGACCTCTGCCAGGTGCCGGGACCCTGGTTCACAGAACACAGTTGGGGCAAGAACAAACTCGGCGGTCTGCTTGCTGAGGCTGCCAAAATAGCCGGTCTGCCGGTAATATGGCTGCCAAAGCGGCGTTCCTATAGGAAAGGGACCACCACCACCAGCGGTGGTGGTGGTGCTGTTTATGCCTCTTTTTCAGCCCAGAAGCGTCCAGCCCCGACTCCACCCAGCCAGCCAAAACAGGCCCGGACAGGCCCGGAAATCCTCCCGCCCTCCTCAATGCAGTGGACGTCTCCCTATTCCGTTGCCACCGTTGTCTCGCCGCCTTCCACCCTCGTGCCGCTGGACATCGATGCGGATGGAGCTGAGGCTGATGGTCAGATGGTGGGGGAGTTTCCACCAGAACAAGTTGTTCCACAGGCGAGTACTTTTATAACTGCCTTTCAAAGGGACGTAAAAAGAAGGGAGTTTGAAGATTTCCCTTTTGTCTCACGCCTAACGCTCAAGCGGCTGGTGGCAAGCTTAAATAGAACTGAAACAAGGTTACTGATCGGGAGTGCACGCAGTTAAATGAATAATTTGGCCTTTGAGACTGTCCTGTCAACTAAAAGTTCCAGAATCACAACCAAGCGACTGCCAAAAAGCCAAGACAAGACAAGTAGTGAAAGGCCAAAACAGTTGATGTGTGTGAATAGGATAAAAATCAGGGTCTGAGGTGAATGAATGGATGGATGGATAAATGCTCCAGGTCGTACCTGGACTTGTATGGCTGAGTTTTGTTGAAGACAGCAATCTCGATTCGCGACAGGATGTCTCCAACCGCGTTTCCCTATCCGTGGGCACGATGAGTGACGTAGGGAAAAATAATATGTGAATTCGGGTTGGAAGTTCGTGAAGAGGTTGTCAGCCATCTCAGAAGATAATGAGCAGTGATTGTGCTCTGAATGTTGCCTGTGCAGATCACGCCCGGGTTACTAATTTGTAGGGGTATAGGATGTACTCGGATCACTACAATCATCAGGCCGAATCCCACGTGAAAGGTAAAAGGCAGAAGGCGCCTGTGA